ATTCATTACCTGCTCAACTATTCTTCAGCATTATCATAAGAATATTAGTTGTGTCTCACCTTTCCAGTTGTTAGTCACCTGTTCTTATTCAAGAAACTTTTTTTGTCTAGCAAGTACTTTCCGACATAAGCTCTGCTCATATTTCCGTCAAAAGACCTAGCACATAAATTATATAGTATGGCTTTGACAATTGAATAACCAAGAATTATTTAAGACAACTTTATAAACATCAAGTGCCCATCAGAGATAATATATCTTAATCCCTTGAATTCACCTATCATTAGGTAACAATAGTTCTACAACTGAACTGTTGTAATAACGACATATGTTCTAGTTCTGAAACATCTATTAACGCATACACTCACCAGATCGATATTAAAGGCATATACATTAATTTATGATCAGCAGCATGACTTGGCAATCATCTTTCTGCAGCAGTCCTAACATCAAACGATCACTATCACGTAGTTTCAAACCAAACATGTTCAGTAACGCACATACTTACTTACCAAAGTAGTTGTGGTATTCCAGGTTTCACTTTCACCTGATGAAATTAAGCCGTGTAATTACCATGATAACAAATATTTAATACCGATTATCACTGCATTAAAAATCAAGACTAGGATTGTAGCAAAACTAGCTAAATACGCTAGAAAAGCATCTTCTTTCAAAATAGGCCATTTGATAGCAGCTATTAATAACTGAAAGTGAAATTTAATCTTGAAAATGGATTAAAGTCACCAAAGTCTTACCTCATGACGTTCATAGTGGGATTGTATTTATAAGAACTGTATGTTTAACATAATGATAAGCGAATTCGCTGCCATTTCTAAAATCTGGTGTTACGTGTAATTATTGAAACATTACATTGATTGTAATGAAACTGACAAAGTACCATATATCACAAATAACAAAGAGCCAAATTATGCGCATGAGAGAACTGTGCGAATGAGCTGAATGAGTAAAGAAGAACACATGAAAAAACTAGTAAAAGATATTTGTTTCAGGAAATCAAGAATATGAAAGATAAAGACAGAGTCAGAGATAAACTACACATGATAAAACTTTATTCATATCTTGCTGTAATTAAATCCTACAAAATATGTTAACCTAAGTGTAGATCTAGGGAGAAAATTGATGTGCAACATAGAATGATTGTGATTGGAGGATTTCTAAACTTGGATGTTACGACGTGATGACATATGTTATGACAGAATCATAGTAAACACTTCACAACATCAAAGACTGTAAACACGACTAGTAACTCTTTTTAGTGTTTCAGATTATACCAAATTATGCGATGGTTTTTGTTGTCTTGAAATGTTTACATATTCCACAGTAATTACTGTACGTTGAATCCGAAAACGATATCCATTTTTCTCCATCACGTACAGATTTTTCACAAAACGTCATATGTACTTTTACATAAGTGAATCATTTTCGTTTAAATCGGATAAGATTTTGTTATGCTTAAATGTTGACAACCACTGGCTATAGATTTCTCTAGTCCAACCGCGACGTGAGAGTGTTATCAATAGCTTTAGAACCCAAACATAATACTAACAAATGTTCATTGTGGTGAACGAAATAATAATTTGATCTAAGTAAGAGTTTTATTCTTCCCGATTTGTAAAAAATCCTTACGTGATAGAAAAAAAAAGAATATTATTTTCGAAATCTGCGTAGCTGTTATTAAATCCAAACAATTTTTACGAAGTTTAAATTTACAGGCCTGTGTTATTAATGACTAGTAAGTGAGTATACGTCAAGGTGTAGTATGGTGGAAGAATGGTAATTTAAAATGAGCTACCTCTAAAGGCAGAGAAATTAGAAGAAAATATTTGAAATACATGAGCTTTCAAGGACTCAAGACGTGTTAACTAGAAAAATAATCGTATTCCTTGATACATTGTACACAGGTTTTATTACTTTTTGCAATAACGTTTTGCTTATGGTATTGTTGTGGAGTGCCAAGACATATGCGAACTGTGCCAAACAGGCCTATTTACCGTGTTTGTTAAAGGGCGGATAACCACAGGAAACTGTTTCAAATAATATTGCCTTTAATGTTCCCCATGGAAGCAGGAAATATGATATAGCACCGTATTTAGGACCTTAAGTGACCCAGAATAAACACCCAATGGTAGCGTAAACATGGATTCTTGGATTCACTGTTGTGACATTTGGAGAAAATGAAAAGAAACCGAAAAAGTAAATAGAAATATCATATTCTGTGCAGTTGCTGGTGTCCTGAGAATAAGATACAATCCGGCATATCGATAGACTTTCTCATCTCGAAAGAGATAGGAAGGTGAGGAAAAATCAAAATCTATTTAAACCGAGAAAGCTAAAGGTAAGCCAGCAATAGCTACAAAACGAATTAAACTCAGGTCAACCATGGCTAGTCAAGTAGCGTGAATAAGCAAGAAATAAAAACGTGGTCAATCTGTTGCCACTAAACTAAAGGAACAAACCTACTCCAGATGTCCTTCTACAAGGAAAAATGGTCCTTTTAGAGCAATATAAACCAGTTGTAGAAAACCATATCCTATAGCTTTCTGTAACCTGAACCTTGTTGGGGAGCAATTAGTACATTGTTACTGAGGTTCAGAACCACAACAACAACAACAAAAAGACGCGAAGCAGAAAATGGAACTTCAAATTTGAGCATAAGGAGTCTAGTGCTGAGGATCCGAACTAGAGTGCTAAATTTTGATATTATGTTAGACGTGATGTCAGTTATTTTGAATATTTATTCATAATGGTTTAGATGTAATCTGCTCTTTACTGACAAATCTATGAGTTCAAATGATTTTCCTTTAATTTTATTAGCTGAGTGTAAGGCTATTGAAAAATTATAGAAAGGTTGCAGTTTGTAAGGAGAGGAGTTTGATAACGATTGTTTCATATCTCTTTCAATTTCTATTTTGTTGCTCAAACAACATCAGAAAATATCTAATACACACAATCTATTAATTGGAAGTCTGAGTAGAAAGTATAACTATTATTTTTGTGCTAGGCTAATGTTTTACTTAATATGACGTGATTTGTTTTACTTAATATTTTAACTTCCAAAAGTTTTCTGAAGAGAAAGAGGGAGAAATCAATAAAACTAACAACGATAAGAAATTAAAGATATATTTAATTATCCTATATCTTTCTGTTACTTATGTTTATGGCATATTTTAATAGTAGAGTAATAAGTTCTACTCTGCTCCAATAAACTTATTATTCCAGGGAGTATTTGTTATGATGATGATAAGGATTTTTAGTTCTTAAAGATAAAAACTTCATTGGCATTGTATTTTACAAGCGAAAAGTTAATTTATATTTCTATGACGTATTTTTTTTTTATGTGCCCATTTCGATGGCAAATGGACATTACAGTTAATTTACTTGCATTACACGGCAGCTTAGTAATGTGTATTCATTTTAACATTTATTTGGTTAACCCATTAATATTAAAATGACAAGCTTACATCTGTTTTCAAATATCATAATACTCTGTAGATATTCATATAAGTTTCTATATAAAAGCACATGAATGCGTACACGTCTTATGAATTTGATGCTTTAGTCAGGAGCAAAGATAATTAACTGTGTTAGCAAATAAATCACGGTTGGGATAGTGAGTTAATGAAAAGACACATAGACCACTATATTCACTAGTTTGCTCAGAACTACAAATATTCCAAAATGGTATGTAATCTTATTAAGCTCCCATAACAATTTTGATTTCGCTGCTACTTTTAGAATTGTGTTCATTAAGTCGAGTTGAGAGAAAGCACTACAACAGTATACCACACTATGGTACCGTGTCTTGTATGTGTAAAATATGTTTACATAAAGTATATATAATTGGTAGAATGAAACTTAATTACTGTCTTTCCGTTATGTACATTATCTTTAACATTTCCTCTAATTCTTTAACACATATATAAGTTAAAACAAAGAACCGGGCCAATAACAAAGAACGTCCTTTAGATAAGACAAATAAATAAATTCAATTATGGAAAAAAAATATACATTTTGTCCTAGTGATAGAGGTAGCGAAACTAGATGTGTATTTTTTAATCGTTTTTTTCATTTTTCCTTTTTTGTTCCTATTACTTTTAAGCACCAAAATTAATTTCAAACTCTTTATAAAATATATTTTCTAATATATGGAACAACTTTCTGAGAAAAAAGTACAACGTCTTGAACTAGAAACTAAAGGAGTTATTTTATAAGGATATTACAGATAATTAATATATCCATAACTCTCCCCATTTAAGTATTTTTGCACGTTAATATATGACTTACATTAATATATATATATGTATATATATATCTTTATTACCATTTACTGAACAACCAAAAAAAAGCGATGTTAAAAAGAAATATTACTCACTCCTTGGATAAAATATTATATATGTATATATATATCATCGAACCATATTACTGTAACGTTACAAGGTAAAAGTGAACACAAAATAGGCCTAAAGATAATTAGCCTTACTTCACTTCTGGTACCGAGGTCAGAAATGTAAAAAAAAAAAAACTAGTATAGTTTAGTTATTATTTTAGATTATGTTGATCATCTGTTGTCTCATAAAATCATACCCTCCGAATATTTATTTCCTTTAAAGGCAATATAAAGGAACAACTTTAATATGAAAAATTCCGAATATTAGGTACGCTTAGAAATGTGGGATATTTGCTGTTAGTGTTTTTCTAAGGGGAAAACTATTTTTGTCTTTGTTCTGACTAAAAAAATCTCCAGTATATTATATTACGGTAGTATTGTGATTAAAGTAAAATATCTAAGTATTGAGTAAACAGTGAGATATAGAACTGCCAAAATCATCAAGTTCTTTCTTAAATATTATAGATCTTCAAAATGTAGAGATTTCTTACTAGAGAATATGAAAGATTTATATGTAATTTAAATTTTATATGATTTCATAGCTAAGCAGATATATAATGAAAACCAAAAATCGTCTTTAACGTTTTTCTTTCAGTTCTTCACAAAAACGTGAAAGTTCCAGTAATAGTTTTCATTCAAGGAGAGTCTTACGATTGGAATTCTGGGAATGCATATGACGGCAGTGTTATTTCAAGCTTAGCTAGTATTATCGTCATCACTTTCAACTTTCGCCTTGGGATCTTAGGTCTGTACATGTTAGATTATTTTAACTTTCTTTATTGGGAACTGAGGTTTGTATATGTTAAATGATTTGAACGTCCTTTATCAAAAATTAAAATACGAATAACAAATACGATCTATGATCCCGTAAAAACTAAACAGTTTAGTCTAAAGTTTTTGGAAGTTTAGATAACGCCTAGAACTATATCGTTCTATTTTAGGAGAGTAATAATGAAATATTATTTGAATGATATTATTTTGTTTCTTATAGGGTTCTTACCAGCATTAGAAGAAGTTACTCGTGGTAACAATGGCTTAATGGATCAAGTGGCTGCTCTCCACTGGATTCAGGAAAATATCGCAGAATTTGGTGGAGATATTCATAACGTTACAATCATAGGACATGGTCATGGAGCAGCATTCGTGAATTTACTGATGATTTCGCCAATGGCAAAAGGCAAGGAAAAATAACATTCCCTGTATCACGTTCTGTTTTACTCCCATTTCAAGTATATATTTTTTAATGTAATCCACTAATTTTGATATGAAAAAGCACTTGGTAGTACTTCAGTGTTTATGGTAAGCATGTGTACACTTAAGTGTTAAAAAAAAGGTATGACCGACACTTGTTTTACATGAAAGTTGAGTAAAGACATAGGAAGATATTTTTGCACATGAATAATTAATTTACTATAAGGATTGGCATTATAGTATAGTTTTAACCTTCCAAAGTTAATGTTAATTCTGATTAATCACTTTGCAATAAGAATGCAGTAGCGTAATTGAAATACTCTAAAAGTGAATTGTCATTTGTTTTGAATTTCGCGCAAAGCTACACGAGGGTTATCTGCGCTAACTGTCCCTAAGTTAGCAGTGTAAGACTAGAGGGAAGGCAGCTAGTCACCACCACCCATCGCCAACTCTTGGACTACTCTTTTACCAACGAATAGTGGGATTGACCGTCACATTATAACGCCCCCATGGCTGAAAGGGCGAGCATGTTTGGTGTGACGTGGATTCGAACCCGCAGATTGCGAGTTGAGCGCCCTAACCACCTGGCCATGCCGAGCCCAATTGTCATTTGAAAGAACAGAAGGAAAGCGCGCGAGATGTTTTTAGTTTGTTTTGTTTGTAAGTCAGTTCAAGGTTACACTGACGGTTTAATAATGTACTGTAAGTCAATTCAAGGTTACACTGACAGATTAATAATGTACTTAAATCAATTCAAGGTTGCACTGACGGATTCATAATGTACCGTAAGTCAGTTCAAGTTTACACTGACGGATTAATAATGTACTGTAAGTCAGTTCAAGTTTACACTGACAGATTATGTTGAGGGTATTCCGCTTTGTTATGATTAGTAACTAGTAGATTTATATTCTATTATGTAAGTAGGAACCGTAATATAACTACGACAAACATATTTTTGAGCTTAAAAAAAGACAATATTATTCAGAGCACTCTCTTTATTTATCTGGTTTCTACACCGGCCAAATCCTCTGGACTCATCTCGTGAGAAAAACTGCGCAGGTCTAAGAGTTAAAATACGTTCTTGCAAATGCTCTTACCTATTTTTATCTAATCTTTTAAAATAATTATTCTCTGAGAATACGTCTTGTAATCCGGGTTCTGTTCGAATATACAATATGGTTATGTTTGGCGTTGCCATAATAACATTTAATACAATATAGCAATGCGAATGTACAGGTAATTCAAAGGTGAAAATAGAGGAAAATAGAAACATTACTTAAGGTTTAACTTATATTCTGTTCTGTGTAATACATGATGATAAAGTTTACTAATTTGAATTTTTTAAAGAATTACAAAAATTTTCCATAATTTAATAGGGTTATTCCACCGTGGCGTCATGCACAGTGGGTCGGCACTGAGTCCGTGGGCAATAGCCAGACAGGCTCCGGTGTTCACTCGGCAGTTGGCTAGTAAGTTGAAGTGCCCGACAAAAAGCAATGTCAACATGGTATACTGTCTAAGAGATCGACCTATAGAACAAATATTGAACGTTCAGTTAGCTGTTCCAGACTATCTTACAGCATTTGGACCAACCATTGACGGAATTGTTATACCGAATGAGCCTGAAGTCTTGATGGGGGATCACAATAACCTATACAATCAATACGATCTTCTGCTTGGGGTGTCGAGAATGGAATTCTATTTTCAGTTTTCGGCAAATGAGGAGCGTTATGGTATAGGAGAAGATCGCCGGAATAGACTGTTCCAAACATTAGTTGGGAATATATATACATATCATTTACAAGAAATATTTTATGTATTAGAAAACGAATATACAGACTGGGAGAGAGCTGTAGAACATCCCATCAACATTCTTGAAAATACAGCAGATGCCATTAGCGATGGTCTCGTAGTGGGGCCATTATTTAAGGCCGCAAAGTACCGCGCCAAAGGAAGCAAGAAAACGTTTGTTTTCGTTTTCGGTCATCAAACTGAAAACTCCGAATATCCTAAGAGGTATGGATGCATTCACGGAGAAGACCTTCCTTATGTTTTTGGTGTTCCTCTAGTCGGAAAACTTGCACATTTCCAACATAATTATTCGCGCTCAGAGACTTCTTTAGCCCAAGCTGTCGTCTTGTACTGGACCAGTTTTGCAAAGAAAGGGTAAATATGTCTTGTTTTTTCCATTCTCTTTGATTTAGCTGATGAATGTTAAATAGAGATAGTAATAACTTCTGTATACAATAAAGCTAACATCTTAATTAAAACTAAAATGTTAATATGAAATATAAATTAGTTTATACTATTTAACTTGTTAAAGTGAAGTTAGGGGTACTTGGCTACTGCAATGTAGTTAAAATATAATATTGAAAAAAGGTGAATACTTATCATAATATTACATGAGCTATAAACTAGTTAAAGGACTTGAAATTTATAATAATTTGATCGCACTGAATTATCATTTGAGTCCTGTTATTAATTGTTTTGGCCCCAATCCAAATATCTTATAATAATCAGCTTAATTTAAGTCTGAATCCACGTACATTTTAAGCTATTAATGCAAATTAATCTTTATAAAATGAATTATACTTCATATTTTAAAAACGTAACTACTATCATTTCATCTCATCAAGTTAATTAGATGAGCAAATGGAAAAGTCGTATTATTTAACCTTGTTACCAATTTATTACAACTTGCTAAACATAGAATTGTTCTTGCATTCACATATTCAAAATATTAATCACAATACTATCTATACTTGTGGTTATTACAGAATTTTAATCAAATAAAAATAAAGCACACTAGCTCGTTATCGGATGTACGGAAGTAGTTAGTTAGACAGGATACCAGAATCCGTAGATCTCTATACATTTCAACTAAACAACAAGTGACCAATGAAACCCTACTCTATGACCGTCGAAGTGTGTAATTACTATCTATACTTGTGATTATTACAGAATTTTAATCAAATAAAAATAAAGCACACTAGCTTGTTATCGGATGTACGGAAGTAGTTAGTTAGACAGGATACCAGAATCCGTAGATCTCTATACATTTCAACTAAACAACAAGTGACCAATGAAACCCTACTCTATGACCGTCGAAGTGTGTAATTCTGTATAGTTAGCTAGACATAAAATGCAATGGATTCATGTATGTTGTTTACGGAGACATAAAGTAAGCACCACGAAATAAAAGAGGATTAAACTGAATTATCTGAGTGTCAAAAACTATGAGTACCTATAAATACTGTGTAGAGCTAATGTGCTAAACGCTAAAGCAACATCGTCAACAAGTACCTACGTAGACATTCAAGCTCAATATCGTTACACTGCGTTGACATACAAATATAAATTTGTTACAACTTCTCAAGTGTATAATTAGCAGACATGCATGAAAAATAAATATTTAACTTCGGATTGATTTCCTAAAGGTTATGGTGGTTTTTATCTAATTCAAAAATACAAAACAAGAGAAATATTGAGCGAAAATTAGAAATAATTTGAAAATAAAGCAGAAAAATATAAATAATGAATATAAGTGTAATGTCACAACACTATTCGCAGTCATTTTTTCTTTTTTAGTAATTATCAACTTTTTTATAGGTTGATACTTTTCAAATCCTAAAATAAAAGATAACAAGAGCAACATATACAAAGGAAGAACAAGCACCTTGTTATATTACATATTACAAATGAAAATCAATATATTATTCCATCATGCATCTTTAACTTCAATATACATATATTACCATAGTAAGTATCTTCAAAAATATAATGATGCTACCCAAAATAGTTTTTACAAATGAGCAACGACATATTTAAGTACGGGACGCATCTTTAGAAGAAAAAAAGAATCAATAAGTTACTGTAGTGTGTTTCTTCCAGAGTAGACTGCAGTATCATATTACAGTACGTAATATCAAGTGTAAAAATTAGTATTTTTCTAAACTACATAGTAAGACTAGTGCTCAACTATACTATCTGTTTTTTAGAGTAAAGACGAGTATCATATTACAGTACGTAGTATCAAGTGTAAATATCAGTGTCGTTCTAAACTACATAGTAAGACTAGTGCTCAACTACAGTATCTGTCTTCTAGACTAGAGTGAAGATTATTATCATATTATAGTACATAGTGTACAATGTAAGGATCAGTATCCTTCTAAACTACAGGGTAATATTAGTGCTCAACAGCAGTAAGCATCTTCCGGAGTAAAAAGCAATATAATATTACAGTAGAAATCTTCTATAATAAAAGCTATTATCTTACTATAGTATATATATTTCAGAATAAGACAAAGCATCTCGGTAAGTGTAATCCAGCTTAAGAATAGGCATCTTACTACAATACATATCTTCACGAGAGAACTATTATCTTACTATAATCCACATCTTCAAGAGCAAGAACCAGAATATCACTACATTATATATATACCATAGTAAAAACCCATATCTTATTAGAATGTGCATATTCAATAGTAAGAACCACTATAGTACCTGTATTTCAGAGTAAGAACGAGCATCCTTATTACAATACATATCTTCAAGAGTAAAAATCAGAATCTCACTACGGTATATAAATTACAGAGTAAGAACTAGTATCTAACAACAATGCACACCTTCAAGAGTAAGCATCAATCTTTTACTTTGGTACCTGTATTCTAGTGTAGGAACCAGTATCTTATTACAGTGAGTATCTTTTAGAATGAGAGTCAGTATATCTCGCTTTTATACAGTAATCAGTATATGCTATTACAGAGGGTCTATTCCAGGATAAGGATTGTATATTTTTACAATAACAGTTATACTTTTAAAATTGGCAATTACACCATCAAAATTAAGTAAATATTATAAAATACCGAATGAATCTTGTTTGTAAGAATGTAACTCAGTCGAACGCGAAAATAAATTGTCTCAAATGTTTTCTAACCTTTCAAAATACCAATACTTTTAGATATTTTATGGGATTACTTGTATCAGTTAGAATTGATTCAGTAGTTAAACGTA